ATGTATGTTCCTGAGAGTATGTATGTATGCACATTAAAGGCATTATGGCCCCAAACAAACTGCTTGCCCTTCACATCCTTCTCCTGCCCTTTTCATTCTCTTACTTCTGGCAGCTGCTGTTTGTCAAGTTTTTCCCTATTCCTACCACCATATACATGGTTATTCTGAGTCAAAACATCATTTCCATGGTGTTTGGGATAGTCAAAAGGATGTGTGGACTCAGACCATGTTCTGATTTTGGCTCTGCTATTTCTTAGTGATACATGACACTGGGCAAATTACATAATCTCTGTGGGTCTTAGTGTTCTCACATGTGAACCCATTCCCATAAAGTTATTGTAAGATGCCAGTAACATGACATAGGCACAATGAATATCGGTGGTTACCTTCCTCTCCTCAACTCAATCATTTAATACTTCTGTTCTCCTGTCTCTCCTATTATTATATTGCTTCCTATTTTACTGATAAAACAAATGCCATCAGAAGGGAACTTCCTTGTCCTCCCATAACCAAATCTGCTTGCTGCCCTGAATATAAACTCATATAATCTGCTTCAACGAAGGAACTGTTCCTGAGCCATCCTAAGGCAACTCTTCCACTTGTTTCATTCTCTCTCACCAGTTTGCTTAGTTATCCCTGGTTAATCTTGATTGCCAACTTGATTGGATTGAGAAACATCTAAAAGATTAGTAAAGCATCTCTCTCTCTCTCTCTCTCTCTCTCTCTCCTTCTCCCCTACTCCCCCCCCACCGAGTATGGGTAGCCATAGGTTGGGGGCCTGGATGAAATAAAAGGGGGAAAGGAGAAAGCCAGCAACACAGGCAGGCATTCTTGCTTTCTTCTTTCTTGCTGCCATGATGTGAAATGTTCTGCCTCTGCCACCGTCTCCCCACCATGATGGCTTGAAACCCCAAGAGCAAAATAAATCCTTCCACTTTGAAGTTGGTTTTCTCAGGCATTTGGTCATGGTAGCAATAGTTAGAAATAACACATTCCCTTTCCTTTATTATTAAATGTTCCCAATTCACCAGATCACTTTGATTAGTGTAAACACATGCTATATTTCCAATCTTAACAAAAGCTCTTTCTTGACTCACATTCCTGTCTCCACATACCATCCCTCCATTTCTGTGTTTCACTTTATAGCAAAACTCCTCAAAAGAATTACTTAAATTAATTATTCTATGTCCCTACTTCTTTTTCTCCCCGCCCCCCCATTCTCTCTTAGAAGCCATTTTAATCAGACTTTGCCTCCATCATTCCATCAAACTGCTCTTGTCAAAGTTGCCAGTAATCTCCCCATTGAAATATCCATTAGTTAATCCTCAAATCTCTTCTTGTCCTCTTAGCAGTATTTGATCACTCCCTTTCCTTTTATAAATTTTCTTCACTTGGCTTCAGGAATACAACCTCTCTCCTATTTCTCTTACTTCTCTTTCCCAATCTCCTTTGCTCATTCCCCTCACCTCACCTATTTCTACATGTTGGGATACTGACAGGGCTCAGACCTTGGTTCTCTTCAACAAGTACACTTATTACCTGGATACTCTCATCCAGTTCTGTGGCTTTAAATAGCATCCATTTGTGGAAAACGCTCCAAGTTTTATGTCCAGTCCCAATCTGTCCTTTGAACTCTAAATTTACATACTATCCAAATCACTACTGACATGTCTAATTAGATGTCTTAGAAGTACTCAAACTTACCATGTCCTAAATAGAACTTTTGATTTTTTTAACCTGCTTCTGTCGCAGGAAGGCTCAGACAGAGACTGAGAGGGCCCCAAAGCTTTCGGGAAGCAAGTTTATTAAGCAAGCCAGCAGCGACTCAGTGGACTCATATCCCAAGTCTGAGCTCCAAGAACAAAGGGGGCTTTCCTTATATACCATTTAGAGCAGGTTACAGAAATGGGGAAGTACAGTTGTCTTATACATAATCACATGTTATTTCATTGGTTGTTTTAACCTCTGGAGAAAGGTGCCCCTCCTCTGGTCTCCGGGTAACATTCCCCAACTCCGGTTTTCCTTTGTTTTACTGTAGCACTCATTAATCTCTCTTCCCCTTCCCTGCCTTCCTGCCACACTTCCTCACATCTGCACTTTCCACTGTATTTCTCATATCAGGAAATAGTAACTCCATTCTTCTGATTTGTCTTAGTTTGTATTGCTATAACAAAATACCCAAGACTGAATAATTTATGAAGACCAGCAGTTTATTTATCACTGTTCTAGAGGTTAGAAGTCCAAGATCACGGTGCCAGCAGATTCCATGTTCAGTGAAGGCTGATCACTCTGCTTCGAGATAGGATCTTGACTATTGTGTCCTCATGTGGTTGAATGGATAGAAAAAGAAAAAATATCTAATTAGTTCCCTTCAGCCCTTTGATAGGCATTAAGCCAATACATGATAGTAGAGTCCTCATGATAGTCAGCCTAATAACCTCCTATGGGCCCCACCTCTGAATTTCTTTTTTTTTTTTTTGAGACAGAGTCTTGCTATGTAGCCCAGGCTGGCCTCAAACTCACAATCCTTCTTTCTTAGACGTTCTGGGAGTAGAGGCATGAACCACCGTGCCTTGCTTTTAACATTGTTGAATTTGAGATTGAGGTTCAACATGAACTTTGGAAGGGACACAAACATTTAAACCATAGCACAGTTATTCAGGCCAAAAGCCTTGGAGGCAATCCCTTTCACTTATATCTCATACCTGATTCATCAAATCCTATCAGCTGTTCCTCTGAAATATTCTCTGAATCTAACCATTTTTCAATCTTGTATCTTGGTCCAAGCCTTTAATCTTTTTGCCTGGATATTGCCACAGACTCCTAACTGGTCTCCATGTTTTGTCCCTGGTCTTCCTAGAACTTATTCTCTATATAATATCTTCCAGACTCTAAATCAATGTCAGCCTTGTTTAAAACATTATAATGGTTGCCTTTCTCAAAGTAAAAGCCAAACCCCAGTACCTCTCTGACTACATCTTCTATCGATCTTTTCTCTCTGCTCAAGTCATACTGACCTCCTTGCTATTTCTTAAATACACCAGACATGCTCCTGCCTAGGGTGTTTATTCAGTTATCCCATTTGCCTAGAATGCTATTCTTCCAGATAACTACATATTCACTCCTTCCTCTCTGTCAGATCTCAGATCAAATGTCAATGTATCAGATATCCTTACCTGAGCACCTTATATAAAATAAAACCATCACCATTTCTCGAACATTCTCAACTTCCCTAACCCTTTTTTGTCAGTTATCAATACTACTTGATATATTATAAATGTATTTGTCATCTGTTATTTATTTTCCCTTCTACTTCTCAACTTCACGAAGGCAGGGAATTTTTGCTCATTGCTAGATCTCCTAAATCTAGAAGAGGCCTGGCACACAGTAGGTACCCAATAGTTGTTGAATAAATGAATTTTCAGAGCTATCTCAGATTTTCCCGCCATAAACATTAGTCATTCCTAGCAACATTCCCTCATTAAGGCAGGCTGATGTTATTTCAAAAGAAATTGAGACACAGACAGTGAGTTATCAAAGGTTACAGAAGAGTCATGAGACAGTATGAACCCCCATAGAAGTAGCAAAGCATGGGAATGAATAAGAAAATCTGGAAGAAGAAAGTATTAGGCTCATAAAATATTTTGGGTGAAAAGGTATTATTACTTAGCTATCATTTGTCTCTCCCCATTAAAATAACTGCTTCATGAGGGCAGTGGTTTGTCTCTGCTTTTTTTCACTACTGTACCTAGGTGCTTAGGAAAGCACTTGGCATAGTGAATGCTTGATATTTGCTGAATGATTAAATGAGTGAGAACATTCAAAGTTAGTGTGGGCCAGAAGATAAATTAGAGAGAAGGAGTTTGAAGTCAAGGAAACCAGTTAGGAGGCTATTGTGGTTGTCCCAAAAGAAGGTGTAAACTGGTGAGATAGTTGTTTTGTTTTGTTTTTTTACTTTGTACCTGGAGCTCAGGGCTCAGTACAACTAGTCAATGGAACACTAGCATTCTCTCTCTGCTTTCTGCCTGTCATGATGGGAGCTGCTCCGCTCTGCTACTGCCTTCCCCATTATAATGGACTGAAACCTCTAAAACTGTGAGCCTGGAAAAAAATCAGGCTTTAGTTTCTCTCAGCTATTTGTCATGGCAATAAAAAACTGACTAACACAAATACAAGAATACAACTAATTCCTCTTTGATTGCCAAAAAAGCCTCTTTTCTCTAAGCTAAGTATGGAGTTCAACTTTTTTGTTGTTGTTCTTCCTTTGAGCACTCTTTGCTAGCTGTTATTTATCTTCCAGGTTCCAGACTAAGGATTACTTTCTTAGAGAAGCCTAACAGGAAGATTAGATCATTTCATTGTAAATTCTCCTATCACTTTTTCTCCTTCATAGTACTTTTTAAGTTAGAAATCATTAAAGTTTATTTTTCCCATTAGACGCAAAGCACATTAAGGGAATTATCTGTGATAGTGAAAGAAAAAAATGAAACCAGGAAAAAAGAAAGGATTAGCAAACATATGAGATACTAGTTACAGTAATCTCACTTGTCTTGTTTTACAATCAAGCTTCTAACTCAATTATTGCACGCTTATGTTCTAGTGCTTTCCTATTGGAGGTTGGTATTCTTCCCATGGTAACCAAGGAAGTAAGTAGATGTCCTTTGCCTCACTGTCTTGCTAGCTATAGACACAGCCCTAGAAAGCTACTGTCAGAGGTCAGTAGTGATGTAGTTGATGATGACTATTATAAAAACTACAGGGCCTTTGTGACTTCATGCCTGCTTCAGAAGTAACTTAATCACAGCTAGGGCATAACTTCATACGCCACCAAGACCTCCTCCACCTTACTGCTGGAGAGAGTGCTATAAAAAGACTGGATTTTTACCTTATTTCAGTCCCAGTTGATCAGACTTCTTGAGCCAACTGTCAACAAGCTTTTTTTGAAGACCAACCTGCTACAAAGGACTTTATTCATCTTATAGAGACAACTCACTTGAATCATGCAGCACGTGGGGGTTATCAGTAAAGAGGTCTGGCAGGACTGTATCACCCTCTTCCTGCAGACTGAGATGTGCTGTGATGCAGCAATTATCACCAATTCCCCACCTCGGATATTGGCTTCTTATCCTCAAGGCAACTTGTTCCAGCTGACCCAGGAAGAAATCCAGACTTTACTGAGTCGGGAGGAGAGGGAGAAGTTTTTTCTCCAGGGAATCACCCTTGCTGGAACCAAATGCTTGTTGATTCGAGACAACCTGTACACTAAGGGCAACAACACCATGGATCTGCGCACCAAAGGCCAGAGTCGAGCCAGCCAGGCAGTGACAGTAATTCAAGTTGAGTCTGTGTATCTTGTGGTCATGGGACAGAAAGGAACGGAAGGTGGACCTCTCAATCTCAAGGCTTTTGAGATGGCAGGTTACATTAGAGAGGCCATTCTTCAACACATGGCCCATTTCTAACTAAATAAAAACAAGTTGGTATTTGACCTGTAATTTGAATTCAGTGTTTTGTGTGCTAAATTAACATGTCCTTGAGTAAAAAAAAGAGATCTCAGACTAGGTTAGAAGGGATGTATACATTGCAGGGCTGGGGGGAGACTGTAGAGAGCCAGTAGTTCCTTCAGGCATTTGGGCATCTAGGCTTTTGGTTTTATTGCAGGGCAGGGTGTTTCCTTTTTTGTTTTAGGTGGTTATAGAGTTTGACCTCAGGGCCTAGTACTTGCTAGGCAAACAGTTTACCATCTGAGCCATGTCTCCAGCCCTTTTGCTTTAGGTTATTTTTCAGATAGAGTTAGCTGTTTGCTTGGGCTGGTCTTGAATCATGATCTTCGTAATCTCCACCTTCTGAGTAGCTGGGACTACAGTCTCTACATCTAGCCTTGTTTTCTTTTTACATTTTTTATACCTGGAATACCATCCCTCCCTTCTCAGCCCCTGGTAAAGAATGTATTGGACTAGGAACTATAAAATCTTGGCTTTAATCCCATCTTTTTCCAGTAATCATGCTCTTTCTGGATCTGTTTTCTTATCTGTTCAATGACAATTACACTATATCTTTCAGGGTCCTTCAAGCTCTGAAAATCAAGAGTTTTGTAATGTCACACACATCATTCGGGACCAACTCAAGTACCACCTCCTCCAGGAAGCTTTCTCTGTCTGCCTCAATACTTCAGGTTATCCCTGATTTGAACTCCTAAAGCACGACAGTCTAAGCCATTTCCTTGACATTTAATCACATCCTGTCCAACATTTCATATAACTAGTCTGTGTTCTTTTCTAAATTTTTACATACATGTTAGTTGTATTTCCCAACTTGATTATAATCTCCTAGAGGACAATGTCTTTTACTTTTCTGTTGCCTTCCTGGGATTCCAGAATGGGGCTCTGCCAGTGGAATTGGTTTCACTTATCAGGCAGAAATTGAATTTCCAGAGTGGGGATTTTGCAGGGTATGGATGCCTCAGGGTGCTTTTTCTTTTTTCAATTTGTAGCTCACTTTTTTTTCACACTTTTTTTTTTTAGTATTGATAAAGTACTGTTAGTGATAAGACTTTTTTGCTGGGTGCTGTTGCAACCACCTTTTAAGAGGTTCTTTGGCACAACAGAAGACCAACTGCCCTAACTGCCCCTGGGGGCAGGAAGGAAGTGTTTTAGCCCAACAGAAGGCCTGTGATTGGTTCAAGCACAATCTTTCATTTGCATAATGCACTGGACTATGATTGGTACAAACATAAGGGGACTAATGTGATTGGTGCAGACATACTTGTCCCCTCTTCCTTCTGGTGTTGCTCAATTTTCTGACCATTTATCTTTTTATTGGTCAGTGGAAGCATGGATGAGCAGGAGATAAGCAGAGAATTGAAAAAAGTAACCATCAATCTGGCTTATGACTAGCAGCTCTGGGGTATCTGGAGAGAGAAAAAGCAGAAGTGATAAAGATGAGGTCAAGTAATAGGCTGTAGTGATTATCTGACCCTCCTATGACCAGTCCCCACGAGAAGGGATTATAGTGAACCCTCTACTATGTTAATAACAGGATACCATCTCTCTTTCTCTCTCTCTCTGGTACTAGGGCTTGAACTCAGGGCCTTCACCTTGAGTCACTCCACCAGTCCTATTTTTGTGAAGGTTTTTTCAAGATAGGGTCTCAAGAAATATTTACCCGGGCTAGCTTCCAACTGTAATCCTCCTGAGAAG